CACCGCCTCCGAAGGCCATCATCATGGGAGGAATTGATCCTGGTGACGGATTGGCAGGTAACCCTAGTTGGAATTTTTGGTGTTGTTGAAGAGGTGGAGGAGGTAGTTGGGGTTGGGGAGGTGAGATCCTACTTCTGCTGCCATCGTGATTCTTGTTATGGTAGTAATAACAATTCACCCCCGATTGGGGCTTCCCCTTCATCTCTTTCCGGTGGAAGTTCTTGTGACAGTCACATGCGGCTTATTTTAGGGTCCCTTCCTCGCCACTCGGCATGAATTCGCCAATCTTTTGACCCTCCTCTTGACCCCTATTTACTCCCGACCCCATTCAACCCATACACTCTCCCTTCCCGCCATAAATTGGAGCTGCCCAATAACTTTCCATTTCTAACCTATTAAAACTGTAGTCATAAATAATGCCTTCAACCGAAGTGCATAGAAATTGCTAAGATTTTGGTAGCAAACACTGCAATGAACATTGAATTGACAAAGTAAAGATCTATGAGGCACATGTTCGTGTTGATTCTACGTTGCGGGTTGCACAGATTGAAGGGGCAGGAAAAGAGAAAATGAAAGAGAAGGTGCAGAAGATTATAGCGCATGGGATCAATTGCTCTGTGAATAGACGGTTGATTTACAATTTCCCTGAGGAACTATTTGCAGATGTGGAAATTTTGGCGATTGAGCATGTTGATTTTGATGGAATTGAGCGTCTTGCTCTAGTAATTGGTGGTGAGATTGCATCGACCTTTGATAATCCAAAGTTGGTTAAGCTTGGGCACTGTAAGCTCATTAAGGAAATCATGATTGGTGAAGACAAATTAACTCACTTCTCTGGGGTTGAAATGGGTCAAGCTTGCACCATAGTATTAAGAGGTGTTGGTTTTCATGTGCTTGATGAGGCTAAAAGGTCCCTACATGATGCCCATGTGTACTCTCTCAAACTGTTGTTGACAGCAGAGTTTTACTTGGAGGAGGGTGGCACTTGAGATGGTGATGGCAAAGGAAGTTGATGAATTGGCTCGTAGGACTCCAGGAAAGAAGTCTCATTCAATTGAGGCATTCTCGTGGGCCTTACAGGCCATCCCTACAACTATTGCAGATAATGCAGGTTTGGACAGTGCAGAATTGATTTCTCAGCTTCGTGTAGAGCATCACAAGGAGGGGTGTATTGTTGGAATCGACATCCTCTTAGGGGCAGTAGGAGACATGGAGAAACTTGGAATCTCAGAATCATTCAAAGTCAAACAGGCTGTGCTACTTTTTGCAACTGAAGTTGTAGAGATGATACTCAGAGTTGATGAAATCATCACTTGTGCCCCACGGAAAAGAGAAGACAGATTTTGGAGAATTGGGATAGAGAAAGAATGAGAGAGGATGGTGAGGGAGGGGAAAAGAAGAGAAGAAAGGGAAAACAATAGGTTAAATAGCTTTTAAGAGAAAAAGGGCAAAATAAGAAAATAGAAAAAGTTTAGTGGGGTATTTTGGTAATTTAACGCATTTCGTTATCTGACTTAACGGTCAAAGGGGGTCTTTGTCTCACGATCAAAGTACAAGAGGGTCTTTGTCGCAAAACAAAGTATAGGGGGTCTTTGTCACAAACCCCATAGTACCAGGGGGGTCTTTGTAATTTACCCCTTTTTTTGTTACTTTCATTTTTCTTGTTTTAACCGGCTGGAATGGAAATCCAATTCCGAGAGGGTGGGTCGGGAATGGCCATTCGGCCCATTCCCTCAAATGGGGGAATGCCATTCCACCCTGAATGGGAATCGGATTCCGATTCCACCCAACCAAACGGCTGGACCATTCCGATTCCGATTCCAAGCCTCTATTCCTGCGATCCAAACATACCCTCAAAGAGATTTCTTGTGGAATGATCCTGAAGAGAAGAAGAAGTTCCATTTGGTGGTCTGGTCAGAGGTATGTAAGCCTAAGCAGAGAGGTGGTTTAGGCATCAAACCTATATCCCAAACAAATACAACCCTGCCCTCCAAATGGCTATGAAGATATGCTACGGAAAAGGATCATCTCTGGAAGATAGTAGTCATGAACAAATATGGGGAAGATTCATTGGGTTGGGAATCTGGAAGCTCCAATGAACCTTATGGCACAAGTGTTTGGAGAGGCATCATGCAGACTAGAGATATTTTCTTCAAACATATCTCCTTTATATGGAGTTCCCCTCTATTTTTGAGTTAACAACCAACAAAGAAGAAAGGGTAAGTGACTATCTTGAATATTCCAATGAGCATCCAATCTGGGTACCGATTGGGAGTTTGTCTCCCTAATGGGCCTGTTGAATGTATTGGACAAAGCCAGGGCGAATCCTTTGGAGATGGAGAAAATCAGATGGAATAAAGAAAAGTTCGGTATTTTTACTGTGAAATCGATGTTGTCTTCCTTACTGTCAACGGAAGAACCAAATCCTCCTTGGACCTGGCTATGGAAAACTTCTACACCACAAAAGTTTAGTTTTTCATGTGGGTTTCTCTAAAAGAAAAGATCCCTACCATGGATGTCTTGAGAAGAAATTGGTGAACCACCGTTGTCTGTGCGAGGCAGATAAGGAAACCGTGAATCATCTGCTAATTTTCTGCGGCTTCTCTTACAGAATATGGGTCCATGTTTTAAACTTGTTTGATCTAAGTTGGGTTACACCTCAGAATTTGAATTCTTTGTTGGCCCATTGGCGAAATCAGGCTTTTTCTGAAAGAGGCGAAGTATTATGGAAAGCCTTACGGGCGAAGGTTTATTAGTGCTTATGGAAAGAGAGAAACAATGCATTTTTTAAGACAAGGCCAATTCCCCCACGAAAGCCTGTGTTAATGTGGGTAAAACTTTGGTGCTTGTAGAACATTGGAGCTTGTTGATATGGGATGAAAATTTTGGTTTGTAAGCGATAGCTTTCTGGCTATCACTTGCATGGCTGCTTGAGGAAGTCTCTCCTTCTGTACTATTTTTCTATGTTTATATTATTAATATATTTCATCACTTCTCAAATACAAAAGCTGAAAAAAGTCTTGTCAAACTCGGTGCAAATATCATTTTGTAATAAATGCCTACTTTGCGAAGAACTGGCATCGTTTTACAAATAAATGGCCAGACCGCCAGAGAACCAAATACGTCCTAGTTGGTGGGTCAGTGAATTAGTGGTGATAGGGTACACAAGCAAGCACATTAGTATTCATTACACAAAGAACCTGTGGTTCTGCAAGTTTGATACCGGGCCTCCTCAAAGGGAGGTCCGTCAAATAACCAACTGAACTATTAGGTCATCGGCATAACAGTGAAGAAGTAGCTGAACTAAYTGACTTGTTGCTTTATCTTCAATGGACAAGTTATTAATGAGGTTATAAATTTCTTCAACGGTTGAAACCTGAAAACCAAAGACTGAATGGTTACTATACCTTTCAATATTCTATCAAACAATTGAACATTTATCCAATAACATTCCTCCCTTTGGACAAATTATAGTTTGTGGGGTTGAAACCAAGTTTGATTTCACTCAATTAACAGCATTCTGTTTTTGGTCAAATATTCAATTTTTTTTTATCAAATGACATTCACCACACAAACAAACAATTGGATATTCATATTCCTTATAGAATGACGAAGATATCAACCAAAACAGACGATGAAAGGATCCAATGGAGGTGGTCTTGGGTGTAAGATGTCTTTGAGATGCCATCCACTGATGTCACTTTCTGTATATGCTTGTTTCCTCAACGTGTCTATGGTGCAACATTTTACTTTGAGTTATAATAATTTTGTTAAGGATGCATTTGACGAAGTGGATGCAAACTGCAAAGGACAGAGGAGTGTTAGACGAGATGGGTTTGAATAATCATGGGGAATCTTCTACTTGAGTTTAAAATATGGACCCTAGATTCAGTCTCGAGAATTACAAAATGGTGAGCCCAGTTGCTAACAATTCTTCCACATCATTCATGCATTTCGCTTCTCTTCCTCATTTATTCTTTATTAAGTAATATTTTAGGTGATAATTAATAATTGATGAAATGGGTTAAGTGCATTTCTTTTCTCTTTTTCGTTTTCTTTTCTCAAGTGTAGGCAACCAAAGGCCAATCACTTAACAAAGTTTGAGCAATCTCTCTTTCTCACGCATGCTTGATTTATAACTACAATATGCGAGTCATGTGTAAGTTTGCCGGTAGGAAAAGGTGAGGTGAGACAATTTATTAGATACTAGTTGTACACATGCAAAAAAGATTAAAAAAAAAAAAGTTGTAAACCTCAATGTTGGCGTAATTAACCAAAACACACTCGAAGTTCATACCAGTCTGCAGTTTTAATTCCAGCCACAGCAATCTGGCCAGGGATCCACTTCAACCAAGGCCAAGACATCGCCCACACGTCCACAGTTACACATCTTTAATCCATATCAGCTTCAGCTCCATGTCTCCATCCCTGATTCAATTGCCCCAAAGGAAGAGCTTCGACGCGATTTTTGGTGAAAAGCATGGATACAGATGAATTATTGGTGAATCGACAGTAATTAGATCTTCGAAATGTATTCGAGATCCGACTCAACCAATTAGTGATGTGAAACTGAACATTTTATCATTCAATGCGGATCAATGGACAATTTTGAAACAAAAGAGGAAGCATGGAAATTTTGATTCGGAAAACAAGAAATGTGAAATGGATTTGAAGAGAATCATCGCCCCTGATCACAACCACATGGTTCCATTAGGGGAGATCCATTTCCTTTGAGGGTCACACACAGTTGATAGTAATGCATGTAAGATCTTGTAATCCTGGTTTATTCACAGAGATCCCGAGTAAAGAAAGCAATAGAAGCAGCTCCATGGATTCAAGCAAGGCAACACTAACAGAGCAGGCCATTCTCCAGATTTTTATGCTCTAAATTTGTCTCAGAAACAGAGTGGGAATGTAAAATGAAAATGGAGGCGGATGGAAGTCTTCACAGTCAATTTTGAGGGAAGTTTTTCTAGCAGCAATTTACTGGGAAGATTAAAGTGAACAAAGAATAAACTTCTTATTATATGCATAAACAGCTTATACATGAGTGCTTACTCGAAGAAAGTACAACAATAACAACGCCGTTCGAATAGAATACTGGACAGAACTGTAACTATATATATACTTGCCAGGAGCTATAGAATTATCCAAGAAAACAAAAGAAAATGGTAAAGAGAAGAAAAAGAAACCAAAATGCAACAAAAGAATAAAAGACTCTCCTGTGAAAAGACACTCCATTTCTTTCTATTTCTTTTAGTTATTGCTGATGTACTTCTATGCCACAAAAAATAGGAAAATCATTAGGAATACAATCAATACAAAGAATATCTTGATCATCAGCCATCGGTTGGATGAGATACTGTTAAGGTACTTCAGTAGTTGTCCTTGTGCCCCTTCCACGTTTGCCAGTGTATCATCCATGTTCTCATCGATCCTGTCAAGACGGGTGAGAGTTGAGTTGAGCTCATACTGGTAGAGGCTGAAAAACTATTTACAGATCTTTTGTCATAGATTATGAATCACAGATTCTATACTATGATTTCACAAGAATTTTTTTAGCAAAATTTCACAATCAAATTCACCAAAGCATGCTTGTGGGTTGTCTACTACCAAGCGATGGGTAGGACCATGGACCTAGAGATAGTTGATATCAAATCAAAAGTTGATTTGATTGGGCATCCATAGATAGTTCCTCCTGATGATCATTAAAAAAGTAGATGGATAATTATATCTTCCCTTACACAAAAGTTTTCAAAAGTAACATGGTAATCAATAGCAAAGCAAAATCAGAGTGACAGTTGTTATTATATATAGGGGCAGACAAAAAGAATGCATACGAAACTACCACTACCAGCACTCTATGTAAGAACACTGAACAATCGATAGAATGAGCATACCCAATGACAATGTCAAACAAGGCTGAGTGACAGATTAAGAGGGACGATACTAGAAATGAACACATTGAAAGGAATTTATGAGTTTTGGTTTAGTCATGAGCAACAAAGATCAGTTGAAGGTAAAAGTAAAACCTGATTGCAAGCTCTCCTTGCTGAGAAACCATGGTGGCTAGCTGGGTAAAGATGTTGCTCAGCTCATGAATAGTTGACTCCACATTTTGAAGGGCTTCGGCCCTGCTCTGCATGTAACTATCTTGTAATGGAACCATCTGCTGCTGTTGCTGATTCTGCTGTAGCAATGGCTGGGTCTCCCCATCTGACTGCTTCCTGATAAGATGGTAAAAAAGGAGAACAATTTCAATAAGCCAAAAGCTTCAGTGACCATCCAGTAAATTTCCATGTTTGCAGCAAGCCAGACCAAGTGCAGCAGCAATCATTAATATATCATATACTACCCAATGAAGCAGAACTTCTGAAAACAGTTGATAGGAAAATCTTCAAAAATCCTTCCCACTTTGATAGATTTTCCCTCTGTATGAACGGAGTAACCATTTTTCCCATTACTATGGCATTGTCACTTGCAAATCAGGGAATAAAACTTGTTTTTACCTGGGAAATAACTGGGATGAAGAAGTTGACCCATTTGCCCATGGAGGAGGAGGAGCGGTTGAGGCACTAGCAGCAGCTCTAGAAGCAAGTGGACGCTGCCGAACAAAAGGATTTGATGCATCCTTTGAAGCACCAGAAGAAAACAACTGCCTTCTGTTTTCGTGGACCTTCATGTTCTGCATAAACCCAACAATATCAAACTGGTAAATACAAAAGTAACTGAAATAATTGAAGCATCACTGATGAATGAAGAGTCCCAATAGGAAGGCAACTTGGCTGGTTAGGCAGACTACAGTTTGCAACAACATTCAGCTTACCTCTGTCCGCATGGTAAGGACTTCCTTGAACTCCTTTGTGGTGCTCATCAAACGGTTCTTCAGGTTATCCACAACTGTGGTTGAGTGACTGGTGGTATCAGTTGAGATGTTCCCACTTTCATTTTGGGAATTGCAGATAAGCTGCAGATCCACTACTGCTGAATTGAGTGCAGTAATGTCCTGTTTGATAACAGCTGTTAACTCTTGAATCTCCAGTGTTGGATCATCAAACACTGATGTCTTTTTTGCCACTGAAAGGGAAAAAAAAAAGAAAAGACACTTCAACCTCAAATATTCAATAAACAATGAATAAACAACCAAAACCTGTGACCAAATAAACATTCAGCCAAAAAGAATAGGTAAATGTTCTGAAAACAATCATTTATGGGATATCTAAATCACACCATCAATTCAATAAGCATGAAGATCCATGTCAACATCTGTAAATAAATGCCAATGTGCATGAATGCATACAATTCAAAGGCACATGCATACACACACATGTGCACAGAGAGAGAGAGAGAGATTTTCCAAAGCTGGCAAGCTCATTAATTATGCCAACAAACTGTTACAAACTGAAAACAAGATAAAAAAATAAAAATAAAAATAAAAATAAAAAATCCAAGGAATGCCCCCATTGAAAAAGGAAGCCTGTGAAATAAAAAGCTTAAAACAACCAAATAGGGCTGCATCTCTGCTTCATCAGATTTGGTCATGCCAATGGGATAGGAGCATAATTTCAAAACAGAAATTTAGTACAGCTACCCAGTGGCAACTGAAGCTAGGTTATGGTGCAAATGTGGATGCAAGGAGAGAAACCATGGAAGAAATCAAGTTTCTTTACACTTTTACAGTATTGCGTTTATGGTAGTTTTGTAATTTTTAAATGATTCGGATTTTGGTAAATTTATTTTATAGTGCATTAGTGTCTTAGGAATATGGAAAACTGTTTTGAAGGATAAGATTTAGTGTAAGGAATCTTAATAGAGGGTTTTTAGGATTTTGAAAAGGTGAAGATGCAATCATGAAACTTCTCTTTTAGTTTACTTTAGGGGCCAAAACTTGTCCATTTTACATGTTTTTGTTGTCATGGATATTTTTTTCTTTTCTTTTTTTGATCAGCTGCTGTCACAAGACAAGTTACTTTATTACCTGTCCAATGAGACCAAGATCTTATAAATATGACATGTTTTAATAGAGTTTCTTAGTTGGGTTAATTCAACATGTCTTTTAAATCCAACCTATCCAGTAAATCCTAGTCTTTTTTTTTTTTGATAAATCCGGTAAATCCTAGCCTTTGACCAACTAGGATTTGTCCTATTCCCATTTAGAGTCTTGGTAGTGTTTCTTAGTTGGTTTTAAAATTGAAAACAAGGGAAAAAAAACTGACCAACCTTCACATCTTTGCCTATAAAGTATGACTAGGCCAGTTCTTTTTGACATCAAATAATAAAGTATGATTTATTCACTTCTAACACTGAAGTGATTCTGACTTTCTTGATGGTCTTGGTTCCTCCAAGAATCTATTAAGTGCTAATTCCTAATTGTACCCAGTGTTTTAAAAGCGCAAGGCACAAAAAAGGCGCAGGGGTCAATTTGCGCCTGAGGCGCAAGGCGAGGCGCGCGCCTTTTTAAGCAAGGCGTAGAAATTAAAAGAAAAATCTAAAATAAAAAAATATGTCAATTTTCAAAAAATGCAAAAAAAATATTAAACATAATATTAATAAAAAATATAAACTTAAGTTTTAAAAAACCTATTATCTAAAATTAAAATGCATAAACATAACACGTAAAGCATATTCAAATGAGAATTTAAAAATAAAATCAAACATATAAAACCCACAATCTCTTTTTTTCTCAATTACATTACTTCAAGTGGCTAATGTGACATATTACATTCCTGATTCTACGAGCTACTTTTGTGCCACGCCCCTCGAGGCAAGCCCAGACAAGTCCATGTTAAGGTCTTAAATTCTTAGTTTTCACACAAAAAATAATGATTTTATAGTTTTAATTGCTTTTAAAGAAGATATTTTATTAGGATGAATAAATGAACAACATTGCCAAATATGGGGTTCTCGATTGTACCTCTAAGTGCTAACTCTTAGAGGATCCTAGTTGCCAATTCTTAGGTTATTTTTGCATTCTGTTTCTTATTTTGCAGAGTCCATCTTGTTATAGCAGTTGATCCTGCATCGTGCTGAAATCAACACATTTTCAAGATTCTTCATAATGCTAGGAGCCCTACTTGTGCCAGATTCAGAGACATAACCACAACAATACAACATGGCCTAAAAATCAAGGGAAAGCACATGAAATTACTATTTCCAACACAAGCTTCAAGAAGTCTCAAACTAACAGTACTATTTTAAAAATTAAAAATCTACCTGGTTGAACTCCAATGAAGAGAAAAAAAAAAAAAAAAGCTGTGAGTAGCTCTTAAACTAGTATAGAAGGTGACAGTAATCCTCATGGTATTATAATATTAAAGATGTTATTAGCAAAACTAAAAATCTAGAACCCTGGCATAAATCAATTTCAAAGTTTAAATCCTAAGTGGTCTTTATACTTTATCTTGCTGGAGAGGATCTTCCATCCAATAGCCGTATGGAAGTATTTACAGTAATACTTTCCAAGACATACCATCTTGGATTTGCTTTGTGGACATTAACATATGTTATAGGAAAGAATCTGTCGAGATCAAATCTACCAAAAGCCACATGACATACGAACAGTAATCCAATGTTCATCACTAACAAACTATATGTGACAGTTCCCTATCCCTAACCCCACTCCTCAATGACGTGCAGGCAGCAGTACCATAAATTAGTAAATGATAACACTATAGTACTCTCATAAAACCAATTCGGGTGGCAAAAACCATGCAATGGTTCGCAGACATAATAGTTAGCCGCTTCTTATAAATGTTAATATTAGTACGACATTCATGAAAGCTTACTGCTTACATGTCCTCGGTACTCCATTATAACAATTAACAAGTTTTCTGCATCCTGTGCTTAGCGCACTCTTATGGAAGAGAGCAAAAAAGAACATGTTGAAGAAAATGCAAAAACAAGAATAAACATCTATATTGTTTCCCACAATTAGTTCCATATGCTGAGATTATAACCAGAAAAGAAAAAAAAGAAAAAGAAATTCCATTCCATAGCAGTTATTTCTAATTGAGAGAACTATGCAAATAAAGAATGGATGAATAAATGTTACTGTTTTGGCAATTCCATGCTTACATTTCGCAAGCTTTGCAAGCTTTTGTGATGTCTGATGGATCCCATAACCAATTTTTGAAGCCCTCTTGTTAAACTCCGACTGAATAGAGACCGCAGATCGCGATCCCTCTTGTTTCGAGCTACTACTGGGTACACTTGGCACTGATGAAAACGACTTCTTTAGCTTCTCCGCTACAGTGAGAAACTCTTGTGTACGATCCCTATATGAGGATTGCGCCGATTTGACAGCCATTTTGAACGAAACCGTGAAATTTGCTAAAATCCACCTTCGACCAGGACAATATCGCCGAAATCACCTCAAAATTCTCCTTGTAAGGTTTCAATCGACGGAAAACACCTCCAGATCATGAATAGGTAGGCAATAAAAGCAGGATCCGGAATTCTAAACCGCAGATGAACTTTCTTCAAACGAAATGCAAAGAAATTAAATGGAAATCTCACAAGTAAGTAATAGAATTTGTGATCTCGAGCAATGAAACCCTAGATCTGGTCCGAGATCTCTGTGCATGATGATTTGCCGCAGCCTTGGGCTTCCGATTCGAACAGCTTCCTGAAATAAGATTTAAGATCGTTTCGCGCGAAATGATCAAAATTGCGGGGAACGAGAGAGATGAAACTGAGAATATTTGCAGATGCCCCGCAGGAGAATCGGAACAGCCGGAAGCGAAGAAAGGAAACCCGTTTTCGTCGTTTTGATTCTTAGCTCTCAAGTACGTGAGAGCCTCAATTGTAGTTACTATGATGATATTCGATGCGAGACATTTTATTAGAATAGGACGAGAATCGAGTACGTCGGATCTGGATCCATATTGGTTCTGGTATCGGAAAACGGCATCGACGAGGCGACGAGAGGGGTAGCAAGTCTGATAGCCCTTCGGTTTTGAACGAGGACAGGATGACATCTGGTGCCGCACATCAAATGATTGGGGGCAAATTTGTCATTTTGACTCCCGCATATTTTTTGGGTTAAGAGTCGCCTCGAGTCGTTGGCGGGAGGAGGGGGCTGGTCTGATAAATTTTCACGCGTGTGATATCACATTTGCGAAATGGATCGGGTCTTGGCCAGCAGTCCGGATGCTCCTCACATGAACCTTACAACACGTCCCGCTTTACATCGATAACATCTGTCGTAGTTTGTGTGTTATTCTTGGAAACACGTAAGAAGCAAATCCAAGTTCCTTCCAGTTCTCAGGTTGAAAAGCGAATCGAACCGACCAGTATATATAATATTTATATTTATTATATAATATTATGAAAATCAAATAACCGAAAAATCAATGAACTAAACCGATGATTAATTGAACCAATCAATCGGTTAATCGATCAGCTTCGGTTTTGGTTATCGGTTTTTGAAAAACCAATATTATTGGTTCGGTTTAGAAAAAAAAGCCTATAATTTGGTTAATTAGATAGTGAGCACCCCTATTATAAACTCAAGGCTTATAGTATTAATACACCCTAATAGTGCAAAGTATTGTATCGATACATCTGATACGGGGTGTATCATATCGTATCTGTTGAAAAAAATACTAAAAGTTTCCCAAAAAATCAAAATGTAAAAAAAAAACTAAAAAGAATAAAGTTTAAAAAAATAAAGTTTTGGCCATTTTTAAGTACCAATACGATACACGATACTTTGAACCTTGTTTGTACCACACCTCTTTTTTTTAATTGTTATTTTAATAGGGATAAGGGTAGATTTAAGCATGAATTTCTATAGACAATTCATTCAATCCAAGTTAACTCATAAATCTGCACCACCAACAGAGAAGAGTGAAGTTTTATCAAATAGAAACTTATGGAGGAAGATGCAATCAAAATCAACTTCGACCGTTCGACACGTCGAGAAAGTCAAATGGGCAGTGCATTAGGGAACGAATCTAATAGGCACAATAAAGTAAGGAAGTGTTTGATAAATTTGAAATTTCAGATCTGAAAAGTTAAAAATATATTTTTTGTATCTAAAGTCTAAAAAGAAGCATAGGTGCTTTTCTACTTTTTAAAGGTTTTGAATATATAAGTTTGTTTGTATTCGATCAACCCTTTACCATATGAAATTCACTGATTTTACTATTTTACCCCTAGAACATACTATTTGGAAATGTTGAATTCAATTTGCATTATCTCATAAAAAATAATTTTTAACCTCAAAATAATATTGAAACAATATAAATAAAAAATAAAAAATTACTAATTAATAAATGAAATTATTAAAATTAAAAAATAAATAATGACTATAAAAATATTAAAATAATTATAATTAATAATTAATAATTTACACAAATAAAAATTAATGAAAAATTTAAAAATTACTAGTTAATAAAAATAATTAATAATTAGTTTTTAATAAAAATATTTAAATAATTAATAATTAATAATTAGTAAAAATAATTTTTAATTAATAATTAGTAAAAATAATTTTTAATTAATAATAATATTTACTACTCACTGAACCATCACTGCAAGTTGCGGCGGCGGTGGCGGTGGGGAGAAGATGGGAGG